TCGTATGTACCGTAAATCATGTTCGTATTAAAAGAGCGAATTTCATGCAAATTATCTAGATGGATTTTTCAAGGTGTTCAAAAGTCATTTTTCTACCATCAGTAGTAAACAGTTCGAAACCTGGTGGTGGTGGAAGGGCATAAGGAGTGCGGAAAGAAATTTCTCTCTCGATTCCTGACCACCGTAAGTTACTTTAGTTCCTGTACTCCGAAGCTCTGGATTCCTGACCGACGTGTCTTTTTAGTACTGGTATTCCGACGTCTCAGACGAGTGAAAAGTTAGTGAACCGTTCATCATTTTCTGTGTCCGTATTCTCCGAATAATAATCAAGGTATGTCTTTCGATATAATTCGACTTTCTTTTGATACGAAGTCACCGTTTCCGTCACGCCCTCTAACCAATCATTCATTTTGCTTCCTTTTTTTTTATTAAATTATCGCGTTCTAGCATTGTCAAACCTTCCTTAATCGAGCTATTTGTGGTTCTCCCTAATAAGCTCTGATCCAGGAAGCTTTACAACGCGCCTTCCGGTATAGCATTAATTCTTAAAAAAAAAAATTTAAATTACAGCGAGCTAGCGTTGTCAAACCTCCCTTGGTCGAGCTATTTGCGGATTTCCCTAATAAGCTCTGTTCCAGGAAGCTTTACAACCGAACGTCCCGTATAGCATTCATAATTGTCATGTGAGTAGTATCATTTTATGCGTAACGCGGACCGGCGGCGTCGCGAAATTCACTGACGGGGTTTATTGTTTATTCTTCTAGTAGTTTTGTAAAAGCCATCGATTACCCAGGGTAACGTAGTAGTTCTACTCCTTGTAAAATGTCATTTCCCATATGCCCAAGCGACGTAAACTTCGATATTATATTTTTTTTAACTTCTGTATCATTCGATCGTCGTGCGTTATTAATTTACTAGTCGAAGTTATTTTCTACACATGAAGGCCCCGAAAATCCCGTTTTGACCAGAGCTGTAGTTTTCCGTATTAGTTGTTTTAGTTCTTTATATATAATTCACCTGCTACATTTAATTAAATTTATTTGTTGAGAAATTTATTTTCTGTATACCGAGAGCGTTGTAAATTTCCGTATCAATATTTTTTTTTACTTTGTAGTTTCTTTATAAATCACCTATTTTATTTAACTAATTTTATTTATTAAAAAATTAATTTCCTGTATACAGGGATGATTATAATTACTTCCTGAATTATTGAACTGTTTTATTTATTTTCAAATTTACTTTAATATGTGGAAAATTTTAATTTATTTAAAAAGTTATTTTATGTATACAGGAAGAATCATAAATTGCCGTTCAAATATTTTCTAGCGTTGGTATTTAATTAAATTTTATTTTAGTGAGAATTTATTTTCTGTATACCAATACCAAGCCGGAGTTATTTATTTATTTTTTTTTTTAAACATATTTAGTTATTTGTTCCTGTGTTTCTTTTATTACCGGTTCTTAACCGTTTTCTTTCAGAATATAAGGTATAAGGGAGATAAGTGCTTTAATTTTAATTTAGTGGCTAATGTTAGCAGTGACCGCCTGGAAGTATTTTTAACTCCATTGAGTTTATCTTGAGTACACTATAGAGCAGAGCAAACTGTGTTACCAAAACTGGCGCCCGAGCAACCCCTACTCTGAATTCACCATCTTAGCGCCATACAGACTTCGTAATTCACTGTAGGTGAACAGAAGCAGTCACAGTGTGTACCGACGAGAGTCGGAATTTGACGACTTAATTCGACCATCGTGGCTATGCGTCTCAGTGGTCCGATTAGTAGAGGCGCCCAGAGCTCAACTCGAAAATTCCAGTTACGGTCCCTGGCCAATGTACTCATTTTTTTCTTTCCTTTACTTCTTATATTATATTTTCACATTTAAACCGATTTTCTCACCTTTCTTTGTAATTATTTATGTATCAAATCATCAGTATAGTGATTATCGTACTAGTTTGAGATCATGAGGCGAGTGACAGACGAGTTCGATAAAGATATTTTGCTGACGATGTGCACACAAACTTTTATCACCAACAATAAAAATGTATAATTTAAAAAAAATGCGATATAACATCACATTTTATAGGCCATAGAGGACATAAGGGCAATGAAATAGCTGATTTACTAGCCCGGGAAGGAGCCTCAAAGGCTCTTATTAGCCGAGAACCCTTCTGTGGTGTCACAAAGACAACTATCAGAACATGCACAAAGCAGTGGATGTTTAAAAAATCTCAGCAATGGTGGAAAATTTCACCAGGATAAAGAGTTCTTGAAAGGTTCATCGCCTAAACTCACCGAGCAACTACTAAGCCTAAATAGGAAAAATACTAATGTACTAGTGGGTCTATTAACAGGGCATTGTAGGCTTAACAAACATAATATGTATAATATCGATCTGACAGAAGAGACCCTGTGCCAATTATGTCAGGAAGAGGAAGAAACTTCAGAACACGTTTGTGCTACTGCGAATGTCTATTAAAACAGATGTCTTAGACTTGGAGAAGAAAAACCAAGGATAACTAGCTACCTTGGAGAACTACTTCCTAGTCTATGGAGTCTACTACAAAACGAATTTTTATAAATTTCAGGCGACGTGCATTGATTGTCTTGACAAAACTTTTACTGTGACAAAATATTTATATACAGTAGACTGGGCCAAAAAAATTGACTATTTTTTTTTAATATATAGAGAATGTCATTCAGGATGACAACAAAAAAAAATCGTGAAAATTGTCAAAAACATTAAAGTGAAAAAAATTCCTTTTCACTTATTTTTATATAAAATTAAATTCTCTACAAAAAAGGTCTGATTTGTCCTTTTTACTTTGAAATTTTGTAACTAATGAATCAATGAATATTTAAAAAAGCTCACGTCGGATTCTTAAAAGAAATTTAATGTTCTACAAAAAAGGTCTCTTAAAATGTTTGCCTAAATTTAATTTTTCAAAAGTTATTCACGATTAATCGAAGAAAAAATTGAAATTTTTTGTATTTAATTTTGTATAAAAATAAGTGAAAAGGAATTTTTTTCACTTTAATGTTTTGACAGTTCTAACGTAAAACATCAAATTACGACTAAAAATCAAAAATAGCGATGATAGGCCTCTTAAAAATAATATTAAGGGCTCAAATGTTCACAAATTTTTTTTGTCATCCTGAATGACATTCTCGATATATTTTTCAAAAAAAAAAATAGTCAATTTTTTTGGCAAAGTCTAAAATACAGTCATGGGTATGTTGATATATATTAGCAGCAAGTAGTGTCCGACCGAAGGTTCGGTTTCGGTTTAAAATAAGAGTTTCGGCTGTAGTTTCGATTTCGGCAGAAAACTGGCCGAAATTGCCGCCGAAACCGAAACTACTCTTGTGTCACGTTTGGCGGCGTTCGGCTTAACGTTTCCTTTTTATAAAATAATTCATTTTTTTTATTTTTTATGGTTTTTATAGCTGTCAGGAGTATACGGTGGATGTAACCTAAAACACAGATTTGATGGCAAGTAAGCAAATGACACTTCAGTAATAGTTTCGAATAAAATGAAGGAATTACTTCATCACAGAATATCTAGTAGGTACTTTTAAGAAAACGAGCAAAATAATCTAATAATTCATTTCTAGTTCAAACAGTTTCGTTAAGGATATTCAGGGCCATATTGGCATATCGAGCGATCGCCCGATTGGCAGGTGGTATCTTTGGGCCGGATAGGTTATTACAACTCTGTTTGATGTTCCACCTGCAATCTAATCTCCGTGGAAGCACTCAGGTAAAAATACCACATGGCACAGTAGAGAAGTCTAAATAGACAACAGCAGCCTTTCACTTGTTTTAGTTGTATTATTTTATTTTTCTTTATAATTGAAGCCCTTGGTGTAAAAAAGATGTAAGCCACAATTTGTCGTGAAGTTACTGTTTTTGCTCAAAACATCTGTTAACAAGAATCTAGCCACATACCAATTATTTTACCTCTAATCTGAAAGATGACGCTATTTTTTATTATTCATGTTTTACAGATTTACAACAAATTTAAAATTCAATTTTCTCAAACCTCTTAAGATGTGACATGTAACCTTATTACGCAAAGGTCTTCAATTTTAGGGACATTATGGTCTTTTATACCCTTTAGCAAGCTCATGTGTCTTGTCTGTGATTGGATTATCAAAACAATAATAATGAGTTTAAATGTTCTTGTAATTGAACGGTTATCGTGCAATGAGAATCTGTCCTATGGCACTTCTTCATTTGATCGTGGCAAAGACAAGATATAGAATAAAAAAGAAGGAAATAATCAAAAGGAAGTCTAGTACGAAGATAACTGGGCTATGCCTAGGACGAATTGAGAAAGAAATAGCTTGTAACAATTTAGAAATCTAAAAATGAATACCCCCAATTTCCCCTGTGAAACTAAGGAATCCATTCTTACATCCCCAAGGTGCAAACAAACCAAAGAAAAATTGAAAAAGCTGATCTTAAAAAAAGAACCCATTCAGGAATCGATCCTTGATCCGAACTTTAAATCGTAGAGGGTATTTAACAACTGAAATATGGTCATCTTCATAAAAGAAAAATGCTCAAAATCTATATCACAAAACTATTTATAAAAAAAATTGTTTTATGGTACCTACAGGTTTTTGGGGTTTAATTTTTTTTTATTATTAATTTTTTCTTTGCGACAGGTTAGAGCTTATTTTTTTGGTTCTTCAGTTATTAGAGTATGTGTGAAACTATTAAAAACAACATGTATAATAAAATACATTCAACCAGTTCATATAAATATACTCACTCTCTCAAGATTATACCAACGTTGTATTATTAACCGTGCTTTAAAACATAAATCTAAAAATAAAAACTTACCTTCGATTCTAAATTTTTTTCGTTAAATTATGTACAGTTAATATTTAATTTTCTTGATAAAATAATATAAATATGGAAATAAACGCAACGGATGTTTTATTTTTGGAATATTGCATGCATAATTGATTTTAGTGAAATTAAGAATGACCTACCTCATCTGTATCTTCGTCATCTTGGCTGGGTTCACTGCTTTCTTCTATCTGCCCATTTCCCATATTTGAGTCTGTGTCCGGTTCTATAATCTAAACATAAAAACATCATTTGTACAGTATATATTAATAAAAATTATAATGAAACAAAAAAGCAAAGAAGGTTATCCAAGTCTCAAAGATAAAATAAAAAACACTTTATTTATAATTAATTTATAATGTACTAATTAATTTATTTAATAATTAGGCATTATTATAACTCACAATTCTAATTTATTTATTAGAATTTGTCTTTGCTATACAACACTTATATTGAAACTTCTCTTCTGACAACAAAGTCGCGCTATTTATATAAAGCCAGCTCTGCACGATAACATTCTTGACGGCCTAGAATCTCTTCCTCTATGATTCAACAACGCGCAACGATTTTTCTGGTACCATCTCGAAACATAAACGAAGCGACAGCTGTAACGCCGAGAGGAGCAGGGTTGGCTTTAGGTGATTACACGACATTACATCAAATGTGTAGTAATTTTTAATACGATTCTTCTACAAACTTTTATAAATATTATTGCTCAGATTTTACCAATTAACGACTATTTTGCTTTTAATTATACAGGGTAGCGCATCGAAAACAGAGGCATTTACTGGCAGCTCAGTTCTTTTTTGAAAAAACGCTCAGACCGGTCGATTTTGTTTTCGAGGGGGACACAGAATTGGCAAAAATCACGTTAACACGTGCAGCCCCCTAGGCGGGAGTGGCACCATCCCTAAAATCTTAAATGAAAAAAGGGGTCGAATGATACATCATTTGAAAGGTCTTTCAATTCCCTTTATAACAGAGCTGGGCAATTCCTAGTTAAAAAGTAATTAATAATTACAATTACTTTTTTTATGTAATTTGTAATAGTATTTAAGTACTTCTTTTTTTAAAGTAATTTCGAATTTTAATTGCAGCAAAATCTGTGGAGGAATTGTATTTTGTAATTAGATTAATTTATATTATTTAAATTGTCTAAATACAATTACTTGTCAAAAGTACAATTACTTTTCCAATTACAATTACATTTATAATTACAATTACATTTTTTAATTATAATTACTTTCAAATGCGAGTTTATGAGATGCACGTGATATAAAAACAAGAAATTGCCTATTCGAACCGGTCACTAGGGCTCGGACTCGCATCCATATCATTTGTTTGAATGCATTTGAGGAAAGCGTTGTGCCGTGAAGAAGTGAAAATAATAACAGTAAGGGGTAAGTAGATGCAGTTGCCTTATTTTTAAGATGTATTTTGTATTTATATTATTATAAACATAATTTATGTTGCATAAACTAAGGAAATATAGTATGAAGTAGTGCAAATAGCAGTTTTTAAGGGGTAAATACTAAAAACTACTTATTTACGTTGTGTAGGTATTTCTAGTTATTATTCTAGTTTTCTACATTGAAATGAGGGATTAACTATTTTAATAAACGTATTCTAAGTTACTTTAGCGTTACAAGTATTTGATTATAACATAGAAAATGCAATATTTTAATTAAATGAATAGCACGGTTGTAACGGAATATAAATATATTTTATGTTATAAGAAATTATTTGATGATGTAGATCTATAACCAAATTTTAATATTATGTACAAGGTGGTTCATTAAAGGTGGCGACCGGCCGTATCTCAGAATATCTTGAAGTAGAATTTTTTTTGAAAGGAACGCAAAAACAGGTCGATTTTTATTTCAAGGGGGACACCTTTCTATAATAACCTCAACTGTAATATATAATTCCTTCCCCTACGTCAATCTACTACTTCAGTTCAGTACTTTTGAAGATTTATTGATTTAAAGCTTAAATTAGACTTTAATAGGTACATCAGATTAGTTTGTAGTACTTTCAAAAGAAATTTGAGTAAAAGGATTTACTTAATAAGTAAATGTTTTTTGTGGCAAAAAAAGTTGTTTCTTGAAGAAAGATAAGAAGGGAATGCCTCGTACTTATTTTAAATAGAAATTTAGTACATAGTTTTGCGATTGATTCGACCAAACTTTATTGTTAAAATACCTTTTAACGCTTTATACATAAATTAAACATGGTATATTCCACGGCAGAAAGGGTTGAAATTATAGAAATATTTTTCGAAAATAATCAGTGCGCTAATAGAACAGTACAAATATTTAATGAGCGACATGATAACAGTAACGTGCATCGAAAATATGTTCTAGAACTTGTAGCTAAATTTCGGGAAACTGGATCAGTCGCCAATAAAAAACGTAACTATAAAAATCCCATAAGGAATGAAGAAATAGAAGTGAGGGTTTTAGGGCAAGTTTATGTAGATCCTACGTTAAGTACCCGCAAATTGCATACTGTGTATGGTGTTAGTCGACGTAGTATCCAACGGATTCTAAAGGCCCATAGTTTTTATCAGTATAAAATTCATCTCGTACAAGAACATAATGAAGACGATTTTGATCGGCGATTACAATTTTGTGAAGCTATGAGTGAACGAATTATAAACGATGAACAATTTCTATTCAACACTTTTCCGACGAATGTTCCTTTTTCTTAAATGGTATTTTTGGCGATCATTTAGTTGGTCTTTTTTTCTTACCTGGAAATTTGAGAGGTGAAATGTATTTGGAATGACTGCAAGATGCCATAGATCCTGCACTAACAGCCATAATTGAAGATCAGAATGATCGTTGGTACATTGCGAATAGGTTGATGTTCCAACAGGATGGTGCTCCACCACATTACGCATTACTTATTCGACAATATTTATATCAGACGTTTCCAGGTCGATGGATTGGTAGAAGAGGTGCCATTAAATGAACCCCAAGTTCGCCAGATTTATGACCTTAGGATTTCTTTCTGTGGGGTCACTTAAAAAGCAAAATCTATGTTACTAAGCCAACATCGTTAGAAGATTTGCGAAAAACAATTGTGAATGAGTGCCTTCAAATTACTCCTCAAATTTTGTAAAATGTGCGGCAGCGTTTTCAGCAATATCTTTATTACTGCATGGAGAGTCATGGTGGTCATTTCCAACATTTACTTGGCTGACGGGTCAGTTAATTCTTCATTTTTAAACTACTTTGTTGCTAAATGTATTGATCTCCACTAATGATGATGTATTAAAGTCTATTTTAAGCTTTAAATCAATAAATCTCCAAAACTATTGAGAAGTACATGAATTTTACATCATTATAAAGGGAATTGTAAGACCTTTCAAATGATGAATCATTCAAAACTGACCCTACAAGAAGAAAGATAAAAGAAGTTACAGTGGAAATAGAAGAAATAACAGCTTTCTCTTCATAGGAGGTCATACAAAAATTTTTATAGTGCTAGCACATTATGAAAATGTTTCCATTTAAAATTTTAGGGATAGTGCCATCCCCGCCTAGGGGACTGCAGCGTTTATCCAAAAAAGGACTGAGCTGCCAGTAAATGTATCTGTTTCGTTTTCGATGCGCCACCCTGTATATGTAAATACAAATGCAATGTATTTTAGACATTTTTGCAATAAGTTATGGTTAGTGTATACTATAAATACTTAGATAATATTATAAGCTTAAAAGAAAAGAACTTAAGATAGCCATAAGGCAAGCGAAGAGGCAGAGCTAAAAAATTCAGATAGTCACACAAAAGCTGCATTTTACTACCCCAATTACCATGAATGATGAGCAACAGCTACAATTATCCGAATTATGGATCATCAGTAGGAACAGCGGAAATACCAAGCTTTGCAGCAGAAGAGCTAACAAAGGCAAATGAACGACTAAAATAAAAGAAAGCACCAGCACCAGATGGAATCCCGGCAGAAATGGTAAATGCAATAATGCGCAGTCACTCTCAAAAATGTGTGGAAGCAGTAAATTGGATAAGCAGCATAGGAGAATTTCCAATAAATGGAATACGGCAAAGATTGGTGTTAACAGATAAGGGAAAAACAGGACAGGACCCCAAATTGTACAGGCCCATCTGTGTACTGAATGTACTGGCGAAGCTGCTGGAACAACTGATTCTCATCAGAGTAAAATCTGAAATAGAGAAACAAAAGGTCCACAATCGATACAAGGTACAGAGAGTATTGCGAATGAAGCAAAACAAAAGTACCGCAGGAAACTATGGCTACTGATAACCGTTGATGTGCAAAATGACTTTAATGCACAGCAAGAGCCATATCTATAGGCTAGATCTCTATTTGTGGGAGATAAAGGCAAAATGACAGTAAACTGTGGGGTACCGTAAGGCTCGGCAATTGGTCCCACGCTATGGAATGTATACGATGATCGAGTATTAAAAATACATGTTTTCTATGGTAACAAGCTTATTAGATATGCGGATGATTTACGCAGATTTAATGAGTAGATGGAATCTAAGAAGCTAAAATTGACCCTACAAGAAGAAAGATAAAAGAAGTTACAGTGGAGATAGAAGAAATAACAGCTTTCTCTTCATAGGAGGTCATACAAAAATTCTTATAGTGCTAGCACGTTATGAAAATGTTTACTAATATAGGTTGAGCAGTGTTACAATATTTACGAATCAAGCTATAAATAGAATTAAACATAATTATTGCACATAGGAAGTTTCCAAGTTTTTAATATCTCTTTGAATTTCAGATTTGAAATTTAATTGATTAACGGTAACTGTAAAAATATCCTTCTTTATTTTTTTTTTGTATTAGATATTTTTTGGAATCGTCTTACCTGTGGGGTTTCGCTGCGCCTAATATGTTGGTTGATAGCTTCGACAGCCATGGCGCTGGTATCGTTAGCATGTTGATCGCTTTCTTCAATGGAATTTTGACCTTTTCCAAATAGTTTGTGTGCCTTTGCTTTGAGTTCTTTAGGATGTGGCGTGTTGTGACGTACGAACGGAGTCTGTAAAAATAATAACAATTTAATAGTAAGTAAGTTATTAATTGCACAGAAGTGGTATAATCCACAAAGAAGGATAGAAAATTCAAACTGTTAAATATTTTGAGTTTCCCTCCCTCCTTTAGTTACAATTTAAACAAAAATAATTGTACGAAAAACTGCTTCATAAAGTTAAAAAAAAAAACATTGAATATTGCTGTTTACTTTATTAAACTTGAAAACAGCATTTTTTTAAAATACCGATGCTAGAAGATGACCTTGAGTTTGAAATTAAAACAAACACTTAAAAATGTCTATGCCAAACAAATATTTTTAAATCAGGACACGGGGAATGGTGTACGCACTAAACATAAATATTGAAGTGAAAGGCAAACATCATCAGTGTAAAAAAAATTATTGCAAAAATTAGACTGAGCGCTTTTGATTTTACAAAGCCATCATCATAGCCATCGTAAAAGGTATATTAACAATAAAAATGTAAAGAATAAATTACACATGTCTATTATACAAGGTGACAATGAGACTCTTTATTCATTAAGCGATTTGGATCAAATTTGAATTAAGGGATCAAATTACATATGGCCAACACTTGTCATGTAATTTGGTACGTAAAACATAAAATATAGAGGGTAATCCATTAAAAAAAATAAATATAACATTTCCGGTAAAACCGGAAGTTGGTCATTTTAAGTTCGAAATTATGTCTAGTACGTTTGTTCCAAATCACTTTATAAACAAAAAATATATTAATGTGGCCCTGGTCTCATCGGCACTCGGTACACCACCACAGGAAGTGTTAAATAAAATAGATTTAAATTTTTTACACACTAATGTATGACCTTTCACTTCAATCCTCAAATAATTTTAAATTAGTTTTATCTCCGTATTTTTCTTATGAATGAAAATATCAATTGCGACTTATAACAACTTTGAAAGACGCTATAATTATTTTTAATTACTTTAACGTCTTCTATATAATTAAAGTAGAATTTATTTTGCAGCACCTATATAATTAGAGATGTGCAATGTTTGTAAACATTTCCAGATTTTAATGTTTTCTGCAAAATGCTGCAATATTAACACAAAAATATACGATAAAAAACTGCATTTCATAAGTTTTTATAAGAAATTAATTTACGTGATGAATTTTAAAATAAAATAAAGAAAAATTATTGAGTTCTTCAATACAACACGAATCTTTCATACAATTTAGAATAAACTATAAATTATTTTAAGCGATTATATACAATGGGTCGCAAAAAGTTAGTACAATAAAAAAGACGAAATTGTTAAAACTTTTTTTAATAATAATAAAAAAGGGCCTATTAAACGAGATTAATTACATAATTTTGACTAAAAAGTATTACATTAAATAAAATTAGTCCAAATTAATTTCGTATGTAAAAAAGTTTACTTCTCTCGCCGCTGCAAAGAAATGGTTATTTATTTTACAAGGGGAAAATGTATTAGATTTTAGCTCGTAAGCCAATATCAATGTTTTTACCCATTTATAATACACAACGACGATTTAATATTGAAAAAATATATTAAAGTCAGAAAATCAATCGATGTGAAATTTGAAATTTTAAACTGGTAGGCTGTTCTATTCATTGCGTCATTGGACCTGCGTTGCTAGGGAAAACTTGAAATATCTGTCAATACCCGGGAAAAAAGTACCTGCTCATTTTGTTTAGGATAGACAATTTCATAATAAGTGACACTTTGTTACCTGGAAAGAGAAATAAAATGTCAACCTTTTTTAAAATCACAGAAAAAATTGTTTTTTTTTAATATAGGTAGCTTTGGTTCTATATTTTCTAATAAATATTTAACATGTTTTTCAAATAACATTTATCACCATTTTTAAAACTTTACTCATGAGTGCAATTATTTTTTTTTACTTCCCTTGTGCAATAATTTCAATCTATAACGATAACATTTTCTGCAAAATCAACAATTAGTTTTCCTTAACGTGCAGACCTTTTTCGGCACGCTGTAAATATATACCGGGTGTTCACACGAAAACTTCGGATGGCTTTATTTCTGGTAAAATTTAAGTTGGAGTCTTAAATTTTTGGGAACGTAATTCAACATACTTTTTATCCTACTACCACTCTCCCCGTTTGCCCCCCCCCCCCCCCAGCTATCCATTCCATTTTTAATGACACGCTGAATTATTAAAGAGTACACTTTGATGAGTACATTCATAATAAAAAAATTGCATAATAGGTCACTTTTGAAATTCTGATACAATATTTTAATCACTTCGAAAAACCAAAGCTACCTATGGATGAAAAGTACGCGGAATTACGTACCCCTATGCACTATAAAGTGTGCCACTTCGTTTGAAAGCTAATTTTATAATGAATAGCATACATTTAATAAAGTTAAATTGATTTAATCTTAACTTTATTGGCATAGATCTACCTTTTAAAATAAATGTCACGCTTGACAATACGTAAGTTTTTGTGCCTCATAAAATTACCTTTTCAATGATGTGCCACACCTGACAAATTTCCTATTTAAAATGAAGGGGTTGACATATAAAAGACGTTTATAATATGGGAAAAGTGTCCCTTTTGGAATAAAAATCGACCTATCATATAATTTAATATTTTTTAAATCCAATAGATACTACCAACTATCGGGTGGACTGTTTTTAGTAGACCCGCTATACATGTATATACATACATGTACAATATGGGTGGGTAAATGTATGCTGAGCTCGTTGATTATATAGTTATAAATAGTTTTACTCAAACTGTGTTTGATAGTAGAAAAAATCTTGTTTGTATCACGAGCCGAAATTTCTATTGCCGCTCTTCATATATATTAACTATTATTTTTTGCGACTATTAAAAAATGTAGGACTGACTATAAGAACAAGAAATTAAATTTACATTTTGCGTAAAAATTGGATTTTTTATAAAATAAAATATTAAACAACAATCTTAACGTCTAACTTTAATGTTCATTTTCTGAGGCACATTATTTCACAGGGACACTGAAATCTTGTAAAGTAGTAGAGACAGTGATGAGGTTAAATGAGGAAAAAGTATCGAAAACCCTGTTTGAAATATTTTAAATAAATTAAAAATTTTATTTTTTGTTCTTAGCTCCAATTATTTAACTCTTAATTTTTTTTTTTAATGGAATTGTCATGCTACCCATTTTCGACAAGGCCGATTATGCTCTAATCTCTTAAGTCCCTCTCTGCCTTATTTGGGACCTTACGGCCTCCATTTTTCATTCTGTTACCAGGAATATTCGATGAAGTGAGTAAATCATATGGGACGACTATGGTCGTCACCAGTCGGGCGGAAAGAATGGCTTCACCAGGGGCGGTTTCTCCATTGATTCATTTGTGCAGTGAACACCCAGTTAAATTTCATAAACACAATATTTTAATATTACATAAATAACATAAAAATATAAATTTAAGTTTAATATGTTTATTTTCATACGTGTTGATCTATATTTTTTGGTACATCATTGTCCTCTGGCTGATCGCGTCTCTGTGACACAGTATACCTAAGTATATTGTGTCTGTGGCGCATTATGATGAGTGAGCCTAACACGAGTGAGACGATATTGCGAATGTATACAGCTAAAAAGAGAAGATAACACGTCAACAGATCCTTCAAACAGTCAAAGAACACATTAATTGCGCGCCGCTCACAAACAAGGTTGCCAAACCAGTGTTGCCAGTCTAGTACAATTCACAATTGTACTAGATGTAGTACATTCTGCGTGCATCAGTGTTCACGTGTAAAATATATAAATTGTGTTCCTTGTTTGTGTTCGTTATCAATAAAGACCCCCTTTTTTACCCCTTCAATGAATTAAATGTCACTGCAAATAGAATTAGAAAAATCTGATACATTTAAGGAATCTGGTACATTTTTTAGACAAATCTGGTACATAACAAAAACATATTCTGGCAACACTGTACCAAATCAAACAAACTGTCATTCCTCTTCTGTGTTCTTCTATGATTATTTTTTTGTGCTCATTTAAAAAAATGTGTTTAATTGAGAACTGCAACTTTAATAAATTGGAAGGATGTGTTTCAATTTAACGATTGTTCCCGAAAAACTTCTTTAAGACAAGGTAAATAAAACTTTTTAAGTTTTACGACTGTAATTTGTTTTATATTTTGTATTAGTGTCTAAGACCATCCAAAGACTACTTCAAAATATACCCAATTGTAAATACTATTAAGTAAGAAGTAAGCAAAAAATTTGTAAATTTTAACCATCGACGACGACGACGACGTGGAATGAACGAAGGAGTAAATTGTTGAATAATAAACTAGTAGTAGTAGTAGTATTGGGTGTCCAAATTTGACATTCCGATTTAAATTGACCGCCATTTTTGGTAATCCTCATTGACAGTATTACTATGGTGACATATGTCAACTAAAAACTTTGCGGATACTTATTTTTTACAACTTATTTCCAAAATGGGGAACGTTTTGCTGAAACTGCATGAAGATACCTTACAGATTTCGGAAGAAATTTAGCACCATCTGTTAAAGTTATTGAAAATTTTATGAAGAGATTTTAACAACAGAAAATGGAGTGAAGAAAATCCCAGAGAAATATTGGAAAAACGACTGTATCCAGTAAATAACGACTGTATCCAGTAAATATAACTGTAAGGTGTGGTTTTTGGTCTAGTGGCGTTATTGGTCCTTATTTTTTCCAAAATGAAGATGGTGATTCGATAACTGTGAATAGAGCGCGATACAGGACAATGATTACGAGATTACTTGTGGAACGAATTAGAAGATATGGATGTCCAGAACATGTGGTTCCAGCAAGACGGTGCTACTTTCCACACATCGGATAAAACGCTAAACTAAATCTTTTGAGGGAGAGATTTGGCATTCGAATAATTTCTCGAAGAGCTGAGGTTAATTGTCCGCCTAGGTCGTGCGACCTTAAATCAATGGATTATTTTTTGTACGGCTTTTTAAAGGAAAAGTTTATGCTAATAACCTT